AAGCCTACCGAGCAAGGATTAGAAGCGCTTAGCAGAACTTTGCAGCGATTGCTAGAGAAGGGCAATGCTCAGCAGAGCTTAACATGATTTAGCCGGGTCGATCAGGGCTCAACTAGGCTGAGCAACAGTTACCAGTGTTTAACAAGGCTTAGCAGGGCTGAGCAAGGCTTGCCAAGCTTGCCTGAGAGCAGCATGACTTGGCAACATTGACAGGCCTAACAGAGTTCACCAAGTGCACCCGGATCTGGCAGGGCTGAACAGGGCCTGGCAGGGCTTAGCCGTGCTTAGCAAGGTTTATACGATGTTTAGAAGTGTTTACAAAGGCGTAGTAAGGCTTATCAGAGCTTAGCACAGCTCAGCAAAGATCAGCAGGGTTGTTTCGCAAGGACCAGCAGAGCATAGCAAAGTTTGACAAGGCTCAGCAAGGCTCAGCAGATCTTACCAAGCTCAGCTGGGCTTAGCAGCCCTTACCAGGACTTAGCACGGCTTAGCAAAGCTTGTCAAGGATCAGCAGTGCTTAGCAGGCCTGGCAGGAATTCGCAAGCTTCACAAAGTCTAAGCAGTGCTTACCAAGGCTTACCAGGGCTTAGCAGGGTCCAGCAAAGCTCGGCAAAGCTCTTACGGTTTCGCAAGGATTAGCAGGGCTTACCAAAGCGTCCGAGGGCCTTAGCAGGGCCTACCAAAGCGTAGCAACATGCACCAGGGCTTAGCAGGGCTCAGCAAAGCTCAGCAAAGGTCAGCACGGCTGAAGGCTTAGCAAGGATTAGCAGGGCTTGCCAAAGCTTTCCAAAATGGAGCAAGGCCAAGCAATTCTTAGCAGGGCTTCGCAAGGCACACAGGGCGTATCAGGGGTTATCAGGGCATAGCAATGCTCACCAGAGCTTAGCAGGGTTCTCAGCCGTGCGCACCAGGATTTAGCAGGGCTGAGCAGCGCCTGCCAGGGCTTAGCAGGCCGGGGAGGACCTAGCAAGGTTTAGAAGGTCTAACTAGCAGGGCTTAGCAAGGCTTTGCAAAGCTCCGAAGGATTTTGGGCTCCGTAAGGATCAGCAGGGCTCAGCAAAGTCTACCAGGGCTGAGCACGGCTCAGCAGGGCTTTGCAGAGCCTACCAGGGCGTGGCAAAGCTTACCAGGGATCAGCAGGGCGGACCAGGACTTAGCAGAGCTTTGCAGAGCTTGCCAGGGCATAGCAGGGCTCAACAAAGCTCAGCAGGATTTAAGGCTCCACAAGGATTGGCAGGGCGTAGCAAAGCTTGCCAAAGGATCAAGGCGTAGCAGTGTTTAGCAGGGCTGACCAATGCTTAACAGAGCGTAGCAGGGCTCAGCAGAGCTTGGCAGAGCCAAGGCATGGTCTAGGGTCTAGCAAAGCGTACCAGGGCTTAAAGGCGAGCACCAAAGCGTAGCGAGGCGTAACAAGTATTACCAGGGCGTGGCAGGGCCGACCAGGGCTGAGCAGGCACAGATGGCAAAATGATGGCAGGCTGAGCTGGCTAGTGATGATGCTGGCAAACTGATGGTGCAGCTTAAGAGGGTGAGGAGAAAGAGAAAGAGAAAGAGAAGTTAAGTGATGAAGAGACGGACAGAGACTACGAAAGCTCCTCTGCAACACAAAGGTACTCCACAATCCCCCAGCCTCCGGTCTTCGGTGACAACGTCCTGACATCCAACGCTTTGGTGAAACAGCACCACCGCTGGCTTTGCCCACGAGTGGGCCAGGAGGCCCGCTTCGGCCCACCCGGGCATTCAAAAAACGGCCCTGGAAGAAAAAACAGCCCAAGGGGATGATCCGATGAAGTCGGGACGTCTGGGGGCCCTACCTGCGTGACGAAACGAGCGCGGGGCCGATCGGCGGACGTTCGCGCGTGAGCTTTCCGCGCGACGTCGCACATAAGCGCCCGTTTCTCCACGCGGTGTCGATGGCGGCCCCCGTGAGCCGTTGCGCAAGGTCGATATGTCTTTTCGCGTAAGACCCTCTTCTTCTCTTCGCCCAGATGTTGACGGCTCCACGTGAGCGGCCTGGCCGCCGGAACGTGGACGCCCGCCGACGGAGCCGCACACAGCCCCACGCCGCGGAGAGACCTGGTGAGCAGAGGTGCGCGCCCGAAGACACACACCCACGAAGCCAAGAGGCAGGCAGATGAGCAAGCACAGGAACAAAAAGAAGTCTGGCGCGGGGCGCCCTTCGCCCTCGGTCGGGAGAGGGAGGCTGGACGGCATTTGAATCTGGTGTCGCACGGAGGAACGACACCCTCTTCCTCCCCTCCTTCCTCCTCCCCGCCTCCTCCTCGCCACCTCCTCCTCCTCCTCCTCCTCCTCCTCCTCCTCCTCCTCCTCCTCCTCCTCCTCCTCCTCCTCCTCCTCCTCCTCCAAGAGGCCTCCGCGCGGGGCGCCGCGGCGCCCCGCCACGGGTTCCTCCGCCTCCTCCTGGGACGACGCCCGGGACGAGCTGTGCGGCCACCTGCCTGGCGCCGCGGGGCCGCAGCGGCTCCCTGCGGGCACGCAA